CCTGCTGAGCAGGGAGCCCGATGCGGGACTCGATCCAGGGACTCCAGGATCATGACCTGAGCCGAAGGCAGTCGCTTAACCAACTGAGCCACCCAGGCGCCCCAAAGTATCCGACTCTTGATCTCAGCTCAGGGCTGTGAGTTCAAGCCCCTCGTTGGGCTCCATGCTGGGTATGGAGCCTACATGCATACATACATACATACGTACCTACATACGTACATGGCGATGGCAGCAAGTCCATCTGTGGTATATTCTAGAAAGTTTTGGAAATAACCCAAGGGGAAAAAGGTGTTTCATGAAGAAGGCTGGTAGCCTCGTGATGGGGATTATTTGATGGGTCTTATTTTAAAAATGCTTAGGATAACAGGAAGCTGCCTATAGGAAGTGACTGAGAGTCATTGCAAGGATACTCCAATTCTTCTTTTCCCTGTCAGCCTACTGCCATGTCTAAAATTCTACCATTTAGGGGCGCCTGGGTGGCTCAGTTGTTAAGTGTCTGCCCTCGGCTCAGGTCATGATCTCAGGGTCCTGGGATCGAGCCCCGCATCGGGCTCCCTGCTCAGCGGAAAGCCTGCTTCTCCCTCCCCCACTCCCCCATTTGTGTTCCCTCTCTCGCTGTGTCCCTCTCTCTCAAATAAATAAATAAAATTTAAAAAAAATAAAAAAACAAAATTCTACCATTTAGAATCACTCCTGTGAACTAAGACACTATCTCCAGAATCCTCTGTTAAAATGCAGACAGTTAGATGAGACACATTAGAAGGTATTACTGTTCCACAGACCCAAAGCACATCTGCCCTAGAGGCGCCCCTGAAACACCTCATGCCCCATAGCTCACACACTGGGATATGCACCCAATGTATGCAGTGGTATCGCACACCCTCAAGATAAACACGAGAGTCAAGTTTACTTGGAGGTTTAGGGGGAAACCTATTGCATTTGTATTATAACACAGATCATGAGATAGGATGCAGAATTCACATGAATTTTTACAAATGAAAGAACAAGATTGCCAAAAACTGTGGAACTGGTGTCGGGCCTCTCAGAGTCTTATGTGCTCCTCCACTGTCTGCAGGGTACTTTGTAAAAAGTTCTGAGGATCTAGGTCGGCCCTCACTTGTTTTTTTTTTTTAATTTTTTTAAAGATTATTTATTTATTTGATAGTGACAGAGATAGCGAGAGAGAGCACAAGCAGAGGGAGAGGGAGAAGCAGGCTCCCCATGGAGCAGGGAGCCCGACGTGGGGCTCGATCCCAGGACCCTGGGATCAGGACCTGAGCTGAAGGCAGACACTTAACCAAACGAGCCACCCAGGCGTCCCATGCCCTCACTCATTTTGCACGCGAGGAACCTGAAGTTCAGAGAAGGGAAATGATTTGTCCAACGTTAGTGGCAATGGCAAGACTAAAACCCAGGTCTTAACTCCAAATCGTTGCATATTAGCTCAGAGCAGGATGGGAGCATGAAACACTGGACAGGTGAGGTTCCTCGGCAGAAAACCGGGTTGCAGGAAGTCAGGTGTAGAAAGTACAATCCACGAAGGAGGAAGGGGCTTGAGTGGCTCGGGGGCCCAGGAGCAGGAGACTCAGTGCCATTTTGCTTTATCTGCAGACCCTTAGGACCAAGGTCTCCAGAAGGGAAATCAGCTCTGTAAAACCCAGAGCACAGTGTCCAGGGGCCCATAGTCACTTTTCCCAGGCAGCCTGCGCTGTGGGCCTGTGTCGTTGGGCAGAGGAATTCGCTTGGCTAAGCTTCAGTGGAGGTGGACTATCACAGCTTTTCCCTTCCCACTGAGCTCAGGCCAAGCCAGGAAGAGGCCATCCTGAAAGTTAGTTCTCTTAGAAGCAGAATTGGGCACTTTCTGCCAAGTCCATGTCTGTCTGCTGACCCTGGCTCTGCCCCCTACTCTCAGCGAGGGTATCTGTATTCCCTGGAGCCTATTTCCCTTCCTGGGCCTCCATTTCTTTCACTGCTAGGCCAATCTAACAAACAGAGAAGCATAAGACTCCAAGTATGATTTACAGCCTCTCCTGGTAAGTCCTCTTGAGTTCATTGGGCTGTATTCCCAGTGTTTGGAACCTGGAATACATTTTCCCATAACAACGATGTTATAGATAGTGGTTAGATTTCCAGGTGAACCTAGGACAGTTTAGAACAGTGGTCTAAAGGGAGAAAGTAATAATCACAGCTACCATTATTGAGCACCTGCTGTGCACTAGGCCCGTGCTTAGGTGCTCGGTGTACATTCACTCTTCTCTCTCATATTTACGATAACCCTTTTAGCAGGCATGTGTTCCTACCCCCACGGCACAGGAAACCAAAGCTCTCACCCAACTGATGTGAGTGACACATGCAGGATTCCCACACATGTCTGTCTGACCCCAAAGCCCATGTCCACCCCACCCACCCTGCTGCCTTCACCCTTCCTTCCATACTTAAAGCCTTGGCAAGTCTGTGTTTGATTGTTTCATAGTTTCCCTTTAATTAAAGTGAATTGCCCTAACAAAAAAATATTTTTAGAGAAAAAATACATTCGCATAGTTTAAAAATGAAAATAAAAAGAAAGAAAAAGCTTACAAAAGGGTAGAGAGCAGGGGTTGACAAACATTTTCTGAAAAAGACCAGGTAGTAAAAACTGGCAATTACTCAACTCTGTTGCTGTAGGGAAAAAGCCATAGTTCTGGAAAGGAGTGGGTGGATAGGGCTGTGTTCCAGTAACACTTAATCTACAAAAGCAAGGGGGGTGGGCAGTGTGGCCCACAGGCAGCTTGAAGGCCTTGGGAGAGCAAATAGCCTCCCACTGACACCTTCCCATCTATCCAGTTCCCCAGCTCCAACCCTCACTGGGGATATCTGTTTCTCATTTTCTATGTATTCTTCCAGGGATGCTTATGTGTGTAGAGACATGCAAGTACAGCTATTTCCTCCCTTTTTACCCCAAAGGTAGCATTTTATATATACTGTTATTCCTGACTTTTCTACCTCATATAGTTTAAGATCTTTCTATATCGGTACATAAAAAGCTGCTTCAGTTACATTTTTCACTGTGTAGCATTGCATTACATGGATATATTGTACTTTCTTGAATGGACACTTGGGTTCTTCCCAGGCTTCTGCCATGACAAACAATGCTGCAAGGAATGACGATATGCACATGTCCTTTTGAATTTAAGTATTTTTCCAAATTACCCTCCGTAGGGGTCATACTGATTTCCATCCCAGCCAGCACTCTACAAGAGGCCTGTCCCCCCAACACTCTCCCAACAGAGTGTCCTCAGACTTTGGATCTTTGCTGAGGGATAGGCGGATGGTATCTCAGGGTAGTTTTGATTTGCCTTTCTCTTATCATGAGTGAAGTTGAGCAACTCTTCATATGTTTAGAAGCCATCTGTGTGGCTCTCTTCTGTGGACTGTCCGTATCTTTTGCTCATGTTCCCGTTGAACTGTTGGTCTTTTTCCAATCTATTTCTAGCACTTGCTGTATTAGTAAATTTAGCCCTTCGTCTCTGCTGCGAGTGCTGTTTTCTCCCCAGTTTGTCATCTGTCTTTGACCTTGCTTCTCGTGGTATATTTGCCGTGCAGATTTTGCACATGTGTGTCTGTACTTTTATGGCTTCTGGAAAGGCTTTCCCCACTTGAGGTTATAAAGCATGTCTCTTCTGGTTTTTTCCTAGTACTTTTATGGTTTCATATCATACATTTGAATGTTTGATCCTTTTGGAATTCATCCTTGTGTATAACATGAGAATGGATCCAACTTTATTTTCTTCCAGCTAGCTAACACCATTTATTGACTAGTCTCTCTTTTTCCCATTGCTTGAGATGCCACCTTTATTATTTACTAAAGCCCCATAGATATTAAAGTCTATTTCTGGACTTCCTATTCTCTACCTGCATCTGTGCCAACACCATAGTTTTAATTATTGTCATTTTATAATATATTTTAACAGCTAGTAGGGCCAGTGCCCCCTATTTATCTTCTTGTGTCCAGAGTTTTTCTGGCTGTTCTGATTTGTTTGTTTTTCACACCAACTTTAGAATCATCTTGCTTAGTTCCATAAATCGTACATGTTGGTATTTGTTTTGGGTCTCAGTACATTTTCATCCCCTGAGTCCTGCTGGCTGTCTCGAAACCCCCCTAGTCTCTTTCTCTCCACATCACCCCTCACATGGTCTTTTTCCCTCTTCTGTCCTTCACAACCTGCCTGTTTTGCTCCAATCTCTTCATCCAACCGTTTATTCTGCACATACTTACAAGCATCCCCTCTGTGCCAGGCCTGCCTGTGCCCTGAGGATGCAGAGAGGAATAAGACGCAGCCACTGACCTCAGTCAGGGAGCTATGCTGGAACAGCCACATTAGGCTCCTCTCCCCACTAGGGTCATGTCAGGAGAGGAGGGGACAATGCCTGTGATCTAAGTGTCTGAATATCTGTCTTCCTGCCTCTCCTTCCCCCCACAAATACCACTTCCCCCACCTTCGTTCTTCCTTCATTGGCCATCACAGAGCGTTGAAATTGCCTTTTAGACAATTTTACATTTTTTAACAGAGTTTTGTATTTCTGGATCTTATTTTTAAAGGTAGGCAACAGATGAATATTTTTTTTACTCATTTCTAAACTCTCAAGTTAGATTATTTATGTGAGCTCCGATTGTTTTTTCAGGTGGCCTGATAATGTAGTCGAGAAAGTACTACTGTTGGGTGGCCCAAGGAATCCCAGCTCAAGCCACTCAACACCAATCTGACCTCCAGCAAATGAAAGATTCTGAGCCTCATTTTCATAGTCTGGAAATAGAAATAACACTAGAACGTACTAAGTAGAGTTTAACAGAGATTAGTGATTTTTACATTTCCTGGGCTTCAGAGTAACCTCTGATGGCGTCAAAGGGGAAGGGGGCAGGTATTATTCCATAGAGAGGTTTGTGTGCCTGAGTGGGCCTCCAGGGCTGAGTGCTCACTGGCAAATGGTGCTGGGCTCAAGTGAGTTTCTTTGCTAGGACATGGTTTCTTGGAGACATTTTTAAAGCTGCTTTCGGTTCAATTACATACGGAAAGGCAAAGGGACTTAGATATTGGATTTCACTACATTTCATTCTATTAACCTATTCCTCATTATGTCCTTCAGGCCGAGTTAACCATTCAATTGTATGGCTATCCATCGACCCCAGTGCTAGCTAAAACGGGGGCTGGGGGTGGGTGGTGATGGATGCCTGGAGTTTAGAATCGGAAGCTGCCCAAGCCTGTCAAGTTTTTGGTTCCAAGGTTCCCTGGAGGCCAGGGGGTAGGGGTGCGCCCCTTGGGCCTGGTTTGCACCCGGAGAGCCTCACGTCGCCTTCTCCTGGCAGCACGACTTCAGCTTGGAGAGGAGAGCGCTCTTCTGGGTGGAGGCTGTGGTCCGGGCATCCTGCCCGTTCCAATGCGACGCCGCGGGAACGGCATCAGCCCCTCCCGCCTGGCTCTTGCTGGTCAGCCCTGAACGCGAGCTAGTGCCGGCACCTGCCGCAGACACGGGCCCTGAGGCCGGACCCCAGCAGCGGCTTGACCAGGAGGAGGAGGAAGAGAACCAGGGCGAGGACCACGAAGAAGCCACCTCTGCCAACGAGGAAGAGCCAGGTCACTGCAGCCCCCCGTCCAGCTCCCCTGCGAGCCCCGGCCCCGGCCATCCCCGCTGTTCGCTGGACTTGCTGCGCGGCGTGAGGTCGGAGCTGGCCGGGGCGCGGCGGCGGCTCTCCGAGGGCCCGCTCTCCGTCCGCCCCCGCGCCCTCCTGCACCGCGTCCACCACCGGGCGCTGAGCCTCTGCCCCAGCCCCGCGCCGCGTCCGGGCTCCGTGCCGCCCGCGGACCCCGCGCCGCCCCCGCGGCCCTGCACTGCCGGCGCCATGCCCCCGCTGCGGAGCCACAAGCCCACGGTCGCGGTAAGGAACCTGCTCGCTCCGCCAAGGCACCTGCTCGCTCCGCCAAGGCCACAGCCCAGCTGCGAGGCCCCCAGTAGTCTGAGTTCCCCTCCTGGTCCGCAGCCCTCGTTCCCTCTTCTCTGCTCTCCTCCTCCCTGCATTTTCCTCTTCTCATCTGGCCCTCTACCATGCTGTCCTTCCTGTGCCCTTGGCCTAGACTAGTCCCTGCTCAGAGGCCCCCATTTCCTGTTCTCCGCTGTGTCTGTTTTGCTTCTATGAGGGTACGTGTCACAATTGTAATTATCCGGTATCTGTGTCTTCCCATGCAATATTAGTTCTTTTGGGCAGGGATTGGAGGGCCTTCAGTTTTGTTTCCAGGGCACCCAGCAGCAGATTGGCCCCTAGGGGGTGCTCAGTGAATGTCCCTTGAATGAATGAATGTGACTCAAATCAAGGGCTTCCCACAGATCGAGGCTTCCGGTAGGATGGGTGAGCTGGAGGCTCAATCAAAGGATACTCCCTGAGCAGTTATTTCCTGCTGGGCACTGAGTTGGAAGAGACAAGGTCAAAGCCACAGGACAAGGAGAGTTGGCCAAGGGGCTGTGGGACAAGGCAGCACTGTGTAGTGGGAGGGATCAGGTGTTGAGGGAGAGGGGACAGCTTTTGCAGACTGGGAAGGCTTCAGGACAGAGGATGTGCACGTGGAAGAACCGGGAGCAGAAGTGAACTTAAAGTGAAACCAGTGAAGCTTAAGCCTCAGACCCCTCACTTTGCCTCTTCCAAGGCCTTATATCTAATTTTATATTCATAATTGTGTGCCTTTTTAAAGACATCCAAATTATGTAAGTACCAAACTCCATAAAAGCTGGATCTGGAGCAGATGGAGTGGGTCAGGATTGAGAGCCGAAGGTGACAGTTGGGCACAGCTTTCTGCCCCCTAGCTGCCCTACAGTCAGGCCAGGAGATGCAACAGAATAAGGCCCAGGTGAAATTTAAATCCAGAAACAAACTAGAGGTCTGGCTCTTTCCACTCACGGTTGTGTGACCTTTGGCAAGTCACTGAACTGCTCTGAGCTCTCTCTGGGCCACTTTACCTCACACAGCTGCTTAGAGCAAACACAGAGAAGAGGCTGTAACCCGGATAGGCGCACCACATCAAGGGCCAGATGTTGATGCCAGGATGGCTCTTTCCTGGTCCAGATTAAATTTAACTCTAGCAACAACCCTGTGGGGGCAATGGGGCCCATGTTCTACAGAGGAGAAAATTGAGGCAGAGAATAGCCAAGAATCATTTTTAAGGTCACAAGAGTAGACTCAGATCCTAAGATTTGGATATTTTCCAGTTTGGGGGTCAAGGGCAGAACCTAGGGTAAGGTCATGGCAGGAAAACCCCTGAAAAGATAGGGATGGGTAGACAATTCATGTCACACATATACATACACTCTGCCCCAGGAGCCAGGGCAGCAGCTGGGCTTTCCCTGGGGAGGAGGGGACAGGGCGGTCTGGTCAGGGTTGCCAGATGGGTGCTTCTTTATGGGGAATGGGTTAGGGGTGATGCTGGTCAAACTGACTGAAATACCTTTGAGTCACCCTCCTTACTCTAGGGCCAGTGTGGTCTCCTCAGCACACAGCTGTGCCCAGTCCCTACCCAGCTCCATGCCCTGCCCAGCCCCAGCCCCAGCCCAGCCAACCTGAGGAAGGAGGAAGATCCACCCCTACTCCTCCCCTCACTAAGGTGTGGGGCAAAAAACACTGAATGTGATTCTGAGTAGGGCTCAGGTCCCAAATGTGTGTTGCTTCCCCAGTCATTAACTTCTCTGAACCTCAGTTTCAGTGTCTGTGAAATGGGATAATAGGATGGACCTATCATATTTCTCTTGTGGAAAAATGTCCTGCCCAGCAGGTGACGCCTCCAGTGGTAACTGACACATCCAGCCTGTCTGTATTTCAGTCCCTCAGCCCGTACACCTGCCTGCCACCTCTTGGGGGGATGCCCCAGCATCTCAGTGACTGCAGATCACACCCTGCTTCTGCTGACCTGCTGTCTGCCCTGAGCCAGGAGGAGCAAGATCTCATCGGGCCAGTGGTCGCCCTGGGGTATCCCCTGCATAGGGCCATCGGGGCTCTGCAGAAGACGGGGCGGCAGAGCCTGAGCCAGGTAGGTGAAGGAGGGACCCCGAGCCGGGGGGGCTGTGGGTCTAGAACCAGATGAGTAGCCAAGTAGCCAAGTAGTTTTTATCTTTAACTTGAAGAAGTTTTGTTTCCTTCTCTTTAGAAGCAGAACCTTAGCCTGACATTAATTGTTGAGGGTTATGAGCAAGTTTCTAGACCCTAATGCTATTTTCTCCATACGGGTTTCTCAGGAATGCCCATGCCCATTTGGAGAGTTTAAATATTTTACTCCTGTTCCAGTCTCTGCCCCAAGCACAAGGGACTGGAGCTTTGGGCAGCCGATAATCTCTCCAGAGATACCCAAAAGAACTTTTTGCAGTGAGAGAGATGTTTTATACCTGGGTTGTCCAATACAGCAGACACTGGCCTTATGTGGCTACTTGAAATATGGCTACTGTGACTAAGAAACTGAATTTTTGGTTTTACTTAATTGTAATTAATTTAAATTAAAATAGCCACATGTGGCTGCTGGCTACTGTAGGGGTGGCAGAGCACTAACTACTTCCTTCAATGAGCAGTTTATCCTTGTTCATATCCATCTCTTTCTCTTTTGATCTACCCATCCGTCCATTCCATCTAGTCCACAGTATTTACAGGGCACTTCCTAGGTGTTCAGAGGCAGCGAGGAGCTATGGGGGAAACCTCCTCTTGGTGGAAGGGGCTGGGAGGAATGTATGGCCATTCTTAACCAAGCACAAGGACGTTCCAGTGATCAGCAAAGGCTTCAGGGAGGTGCCACATCTTGAGCTGGACTTTAAGGATGAATCTGAATTTGAAGGAAGGAGAAGGGATGATATTCCAAGCAGGAGGAACAGTGTGAGCAAAGGAGTGGAAGCAGCAGGGAAGGGTTCAGGAGGCCCTGATCCGACCGGTCTCACTGGAGTACAGGGTGCATGATGCAGGCTGGCGGGAGATTGGACAGGGAAGGGGGATTGAGGGTAGCTTGCGGGCTGGGCTGAGAAGTTTACAAATGACCCACTAACAAAAGGAAGGCATGGCAGGATTATGAGTAGGGGCAGGAGGCAACATTGAATGCCCTTCCCCCACCTGAAGGTCACATCAGGCTTCCCATTGTTTTCTGAACGTGTGGACTCTTTTGGTTGGAAAGCTGAGCTGCAGGTATCAAAAGGCCCCAGGGCAGCTGGCACTTCTTCCTTTCTTCTGTCTCTGCCCCATCACCATCAGAGGGCTTGGATACCCTCTCCGTAATCACTGATGACTGTCATATGTTGGGTCCCTGAGGTCCAGAGCTGCCTGCTCCTGGATAAGGGAGGGAAAAAAGGAGAGTGACTCTCATCCTGGAGCGGAAGCAGGGTGTGCTGCTGCCAGGTTGTGGAGGTGGGCCAATGCACCTGGCCGCCTTTCCCACCCACTCCGGCTTCATCGGTCCATGCCTTGTCCTGGAGGAAAACCTCCAGTATGGTTGCTGACATTCATCGAACACCTTCTTCGTGCCAGGCCCTCAATCTGAGAATATTCGATTAGGTCTTCTCTGTTCTGCAAGGTTGCTACTACTGTCCCTCCCCACTTTGCAGATGAGGAAACCGAGTCCAGGGAGGTTCATATAACCAAATCAATGGAAGAGCCAGGGTAGAGGCCAGGCTGGTTTGACTCTGAATCTTTGTTGCATGGTACTTTTCTCTCATTTTCTGTGTGAGAACCTTCCAGGGAAGCACCCCAGGCCAATCTGAGATTTAAGAGTAGGTCTAAAGTTGTCCCCATCTTTGGCCGCTGCTAAAAGCCAGAACCTGGGCCAAGAAGCTGGCCAGGAGGACTCTGAGGGACCACGGCCATGGTGGGGGCTCTGACATGCCCCCCAGTCCCTTTAGCTTCTGTGACAAGGCTGAGCTCTCAGGCCATCACTGTGGGGGTCTGAAGATTTAGTCGGAGCCAGCACGGGTCACTGGCCTCCCCGTGGGTGGGCTGGAGGAATCCCACTGCATCAGGAACATTGTGTTTCCAGATATGCACTGACCACCTGCCTGGCCAGCTGGATCTCTGGGTGGCCTTCTTCCATGGTGGTCAGTCAGGAGCCAAGCCCTGAGGTGTGGGCCCGAAGAGCCATTGGATGACTCCATCTGTCTTCCCCCATCAAGTGATTATTTCCCTCTATTCTGTGAAGTTCCACCATTAAGTGAGCAACTCCTTTGGGTTCAGATTCCTTCCCCCCCCCCCACCTTAAAGGATATACACTATAGTAAACCTTTCTGGCCAGAAATTATTGACAGATGGCCCAGGAAGGTGAGCATCAGGTGACAGAGACAGAACAGTTAGAAGAGCCAGGGAGAAAGGAGGAGATACAAAAGATAAGCTTTGTAAGCTTTGTCCATCATTCCTTCCTTCCTTCCACAAGGATTGATGTGCTCACTGGCTGCCTTCAGGACATCATGGGTGACATGTGTGAGCATCCACGGGCCAGGCCCAGACTTGGTATGGGACTCCAGGCACCTCAGGGCCCCTCTTTGAACCTCACTTTCCCTTTTCACAGAATGGTGGGGGGAATATGTGTTTATAATCAATGACTGCTGAGGGCCCCATCCTGGGGTGTGAAGGTGACATCTTCACCCACCCTGTGGCCTGAGGCAGGCCTGGTGGCTTCTACAGTCTCGTAGGCCCAAAAGCTGACCAAGCAGCAGAGTCTTTACAACTGTAGATCCCAGGACCTACTCTGGAGGATCCCAGTCAGTGGATCTGGAGTGTGTCCAAGGGCCTATCGTGTTAAGGATCTGAAGGTGGTTCTGAAATGTAGCCTGCCATGGGGCTACTGGTATGGATTGAGGTCAGCTGTCCTTTGAGTCAGTGGTTCTCAGCCGTGGCTGCACAGACTTACCTGGAGAGCTATAAAAATCCCAGTGCCCAGACCGCCTCCCAGACCAATTATATCAGAGCCTCTGGAGGCAAGCATCAGTGGTTTATGGGTAGTTGTGTTAAAGCTCCCACGTACCTGCAGTCGGTACCAAGGCCAAGAACCTTTGCTGTGTTTGAACCAAGAGGCCAAGGGAGCAGCCACCATCCACTCTTGACATGCTCTTGTCTTCACCTTTGGAAATCCTGTCTACTTTCAAGGCAGCTCAGAGCCCCTCCTCCAGCACTGGGCCCCGGATGGACAAAGCTGAGAGGTCAGATGACCTAGGCCCTCGTCCTGGGTCCCTGGGCAAGCTGCCCATACTGCTTGGACCTGTTTCTTCCACTGCGCAAGGCGGGCTTGGCTCAGTGGTTTACAAAATATGCTCAGAGCAAGATCTAGGCATCCTGAGGCAGGAGCACGGGACCCCTGGCTCCCCTGCTCCTGCCCCCAGTTCTCCCAGAGCAGCTCGACCTTCCCGTTATTGTTATTGATGCTTGGACAGCTCAGAAGCTAAAGCAGTTTGAAAAGCATTCATCTGTATGATCCATGCTCTGAAGGTCTGCAGGAACCTCCCTGTTGCTTCTCCACCTATACCCATAATTCCTATGGTCTGGAGCCTTCATTTGGCATTGACTCTCTATAAGTCTTGCCTTGATTTGCCTGGCACTCAGGATTTCCCATATCTGGTTCATCTCCCCCTAGGCTGTGAGCTCCTTGACAGTAGTTCTTAATTCATCTTAGGAACACAGCATACATTTATTGAGCTCCTTCTGTGGGTGCTGGGGACACAGTGGTGACCAAGACTGAAACAGCCCTTCCCTCTCTGAGAGAGGAGAGCAACTACAGAGTCGTACGCGCTGGGACGGGGTAGCACAGTGCTTTCGGAGCCACAGGCAAGGGCCCCAATGGAGACTGGGGCAGAGACTCCCCAGGGAAGAGGGGTGAGGCTGGCCTTGGCCGAAGGAGTCAGATGTGCCGAGGCCTGGGGCTGCCGAGGTGGGAGCTGAGGCCACTGACAGGGGCAGGGGGGGCAGGCCTTTGGGCCCCGGTAAGGGGCAGTACCTCCTCCTGCGGGCAAAAGCAGCTCCTGGTGACGAAGCACAGAGTGACCTGAACAGGTTCCCAGCCCTGTGGTACCTTCCTCTGTCCTCCTCCCCTTTCCAGCCCCGGGGCTCACATGGGCCTGGATGGCAGACATGCACGTGTCTGGGGACAGGGTGGGGCTGCCCAGGTGTGGGTGCTGAGGAGGCTGCTTCACACCGGTGGGTGCTCATGAGGGAGGGTGGACAGACGGGGACGGGTGGTGGGGGAAGCGCCTGTGCTTCCAGCCAGTCCCACCCCCCACTTAGGGTCTGGGGACACTTAGCTCACCCTGACAGCCCTTTTCCTGGACCACAGCCCCCAGTTGGGGACATTGGGTAAGAACGTGCTGTCCACCCACCCCCAGGTCCCCAGGGGAGGCCGCTGCCCCTCTTCTGTTAGCTCACAGGGTCTCTGGGGCCATTTCTTTGTGTGGTGGGTTGACTTGTCAGCCTGGTCTGAGCCCACGCCTCGCTGAGACCCCCAGGGTGCCTCCTTTAGCCCATCTGCTGCCCCTGCCAATGCCCTTACCACCCCCCGCCCCTGGCCATTGTGGCCCAGTTTCTCAGCTACCTTCGTGCCTGTGACCGACTGCTGCGGCAGGGCTATGAGGAGAGGCTGGTGGAGGAGGCCATGGAGATGTTCCAGTTCTCCGAGAGCCAGGTCAGCAGGGCCGCCTGCCCGGGCCCGGGCGGGGGGGGGAGGGGAGCGGTGGGGGTGCACACACGAGCCTAGTGTGCGGGGGCACACCCGTGCCGGGACCAGAGCCTGGGGGCCGTCAGGACAGAGCCTGCTTGCTGAGCCCTGCAGAGGACGAGACAGTCCAGGGAGGTAAAGCGTGGGGAAGGGGAGGGGATGAGGTGGGGAGGCAAACAGGAGGCAAGGCTTTTGCTTTATTTAGCCGAATTAACACACAAATATTATTGGATGCCCACTCTGTCAGACACCCAGAGAGGAGCCATGCACAGCACAAAGATGCACAAACTCTACTCAGGGAGTTTGCTGCCTACCTGGAAACCCAGAAGGCAGACAGCTGTGGGCCCAGTGGTACATTCTGAGTGCCCAGCGTACATGATCTGTCCACAGCGTGCTGTTGGCCCAGGCTCTGCTGAGCACTTCTCCACAGAGGCTGAGGCAAGGACAGGGGGCTGGGAGGGATGCCAAGGAGAAAGGAGGGAGGAGAAGCAGGGACTTTTCAGGCACTGGGGCCAGAGGAGGAAGAAGGGCAGAGGCTGCACTGTGTGAAACTTGGGCAGGGTTTGGGGCTCGGGCAGGAACCCCAGGCTGTGCATCCTCTGGGCCCCAGTAGGTAGCCTCCTGCTTTCTACCCCAGTTCCTGAGCACAGGGAGTCAGGAATGAGCTGGAGTGAGGGAGTAAAGCCAGGATGGAGCCAGTGGCCAGGCCTTCCTTGGCTCAGGAAGGGAGATCCAAGCCCATGTCACCCCGAGGTACAGAAAGAAAAACAGGTGCTGCCCACAATCAGGCTTACCTGGCTTGGGGAGTCCATAGCTTTGTGGGAGTAGATACAGTAGATACCAGGGAGAGGGCTCCACAGGGAGGTGGCTGGCCTGGCAGAGTCCCCTTCCTCAGGCAGGGGAGTTCCTGCGCCTCTGGGCACAGTTCAGCGACATGGGCTTCCAGCAGGACCGGATCAAGGAAGTGCTGCTGGTCCACGGCAACCGCAGTGAGCAAGCGCTGGAGGAGCTGGTAGCCTGTGCCCAGTGAGCACTGGTGCATTCCACAACGCCTGTGCATCCCAGTCCTGTGCCAGACCTGGCAAGCCACTGTAACTGGATTATTAAGACTACGTAAGAGGGGCACCCGGCTGGCTCAATCGGAGGAGCATGTGGCTCTTGATCTCAGCGTTGTGAATTTGAACCCCACGTTGGGTGTTGAGAATTACTTAAAAATAAATAAATAAATAAACTTAAAAAAAATTTTTTTACACAAGAGTGACACACGCTCATTGTAAAAATGCAAACGGTGCCAAAGGTGGAGGTAAATACTGTAGGGGAGGCCAAACTTTACCCATTTTAGGTCTTCAGCTGGGGCTCTACATGGAAAAGACCGATTAAGAAGAGGAAAACAGGGGCTCCTGGGTGGCTTAGTTGTTAAGCGTATGCCTTCGGCTCAGGTCATGATCTCCGGGTCCTGGAATGGAGCCCCACGTTGGGCTCCCTGTTCCGCGGGAAGCCTGCTTCTCCCTCTCCCACTCCCCCTGCTTGTATTCCCTCTCTCACTGTGTCTCTCTGGCAAATAAATAAAAATCTTTAAAAAAAAATAAAGAGAAACAGTTTATTAATGCATGTAGCACACATCATGTGGGAGAAACCCCAATGAAAAGTAACTCAAAGCAGCAGTTAGAACTCTGGCTTGTATAGCAGCTTCAACAAAGAACAATAAATTTGTAGAGAAATGACAGGACAAAGGAAACCGGTTTTGGGCTTCCAGGGATGGCAAGTTGTTGGGGAAAGGGGGCGGTGTAAATAACAGGAAGCAAACCAACTGAGTAGGTTTGTTGGCTGGTTCCTCTGGAGCATGTCTGGACTGATAAGAATCTGTCTCCAGAAAAGAAGAATTTATACTTTGCCTTTAGGCAAAATGTGGGGGAAGGGTAGAGAGAGCTTTTTTTTCTGCATTTGCTACTTCTTAATTACCTTCAACTCAAAATAATTTTTATGTCACGCAGGCATATTTTGGGGTGACATTCTGGTCTCTTCAGTACTAAAACAATCAGCTGGAAAAGTTGAAGGTCATTGCCTCTGGGGAGGGGCAGATGAGGGAGCATGGACAAGGAACTATGTTTTTTCATCCAAGCCTTGTAAAACTACCTGTATTTGACTCTTTAAACTATATGCACTATTAACTTTGATTTTAAGAATATTAAAACAAATGAATGGTGGGCAGTTCTTTTCAGTCCTGTGGGCTCCTGGTCTTAGTGTGGGAAGAACATCTAACTGTGGTTCAGAAGACTTAATTTCTTATTTTGTTTCTGCTGCTGACTGGCTCAAGGCCTCTTTGGGCCTCAGTTTCACCAGGAAAAGTAGAGAGACTGGACCTGGCTGCTATCCCTAAGAATCCCCTGAAGAGTTTGTTAAAGAGGCCCATGTCCTGGGTGATCTGATTTAGAAAGTCCAGCTTGGCAGCCCCAGGGATCTATTTTGTTTTTATAAGCAGCTCTCTGGGGATTTTTAAAAACCTGTTGTTGTTGTTTTTTAATTGCTTTTGTTGTTGATCTCCTTCACCCATTTCTCCTAACCACTAATCTGTTCTCTTTTATCAATCGGCTTGGGTTTTTGTGTTTTTGTTTTTGTTTTTCAGATTCCACATATAAGAGAAATCATATGGTATGTCTTTCTCTGTCGGACTTACTTCACTTAGCATAACACCCTTGAGGTCCATCCATGTTGTCTCAAATGGCAAGATTTCATTCCTTTTATGGCTGGGTAATATTCCATTGTGTATATATACCACAGTTTCTTTATCAATTCATCCATCTGTGGACCTTAAGGTTGTTTCCATGTCTTGGCTGTTGTAAATAATGCTGCAGTGAACATGGGGGTGCATCTGTCGTTTTGAGTTAGTGTTTTTGTTTTCTTTGAATAAACACCCAGAAGTGGAATTGCTAGATCATATGGTAGATCTATTTTCAATTTTTTGAGGACCCTCCCTACTGTTTTCCGCAGTGGCTGCACCAGTTTACATTCCCTCCAACACTGGACAAGGTTTCCTTTTCTCCACATCCTCGCCAACACTTGTTATCTCTTGTCTTTTTGATGATAGTCATTCTAACAGGTGTGAGGTGATAGCTCCTTGTGGTTTTGATTTGCATTTCCCTGATAATTAATGCTCTTGAGCATATTTTGATATACATGTTGGCTATCTATATGTCTTCTTTGAAAAAATGTCTATTTGGGGCACCTGGGTGGCTCAGTCAGTTAAGCCTCTGACTTCAGCTCAGGTCATGATCTTGGGGTCCTGGGATGGAGCCCTGTGTAGGGGCTCCCAGCCTGGTGGGGAGTCTGTGTGTCCCTCTCCTTCTGCCCCTCCCCCCACTTGTGTAAGCTCACACCTCTCTCTCTCTCAAATAAAATCTTTAAAAAAAGAAAGAAAAGAAAAAGTGTCTATTCAGATCTGCCCATTTTTATTTTTTTATTTTTTTTGCTGTTGGGTTACATGAGTTCTTTATATTTTTTGGATATTAGCCCCTTATCACATATATGATTCACAAATATTTCTCCCATTCAGTAGTTGCCTTTTCATTTTGTTGATGGTTTCTTTTGCTATGCAGAACATTTTTATTTTCCACTTGTTTTTTGTTTTTGTTTTTTTGCTTTTGTTGCTTTTGCTTTTGGTGTCAGATTCAAAAAATCATCGCCAAAACCCATGTCAAGGAGCCCACCACCTATGTTGTCTTCTAGGAGGTTTAGGGTTTCAGGTCTTCCATTCTAGTCTTTATTCTAGTCTTCCATTCTAGTCTTTAATCAATTTTCAGTTAATGTTTTTGTATGCTGTAAGATGGCAGTCGAGTTTCATTCTTCTGCATGTGGTGTCCCATTTTCCTAACACCATTTATTGAAGAGACTGTCCTTTCCCCATTGGTATATTCTTGGCTCCTTTGTTGTAAATTAATTGACCATATATGCATGGGTTTATTTCTGGGCTCTCTGTTCTGTTCCATTGAACTGTGTGTCTGTTTTTATGCCAGTGTGTGCATGAGCAGGGAGTGGGAAGGAGGGATAGAAGGAGAAGCCAGACTCCCCACGGAGCAGGGAGCCTGATGCGGGACTCGATCCCAGGACCCTGGGACCATGACCTGAGCCGAAGGCAGATGCTTAACCTACTGAGCCACCCAGGTGCCCCATCCTCTGGGGATTCTTATTCAATATATTGGGCCCATGGCCAATGTGTGTGGCCCTCAAGGCCAGCAGATCTAGGCCTCCTGCTCTGACAACCTGTCAGTCTTTCCTGGGACTGGAAACTAGTTTGGGACCAGAATTGTCTCCAGTCACCGCAGGCTTGCCCTCTGGAGGACCCCAGAGATTGAGGGGACCAGTTGAGGGAGCTGCCCATGACTCAGGCAAGCAGAGGCCAGAACCAAGACTCCAGTGCCCTTGCCCTTCCCAGCTGGCCCTGTGCAAAGACCTAGAGAAATTGCCACAGAATCAAGACCTATCAACCTTCCCCATCCAGTGAGCAGGACTGGACCTGGAGCTGAGGCTTGTAGAAAACCAAAATCTTCCATGTTTTTCATGGCTTCAAACCAGACACCTTGTTTGAATGTGCAGTGAGGACTTCTGCAGGCCCATCCAGGCCTAAACAGCAAGTCTGGGACCAGAACCTGGGACCCCTCAGGTCTGTCCAGCCCCTGGGTGCTTTCCACTAAGCCTCGATGCCTGCCAACTTGAAATCACATAAAAAATATGCTTTGGCCCTAAAATTGCTTTGAATAACTTGCAGGCAATGCAAAACTATTTGAGAACATTGGCAAGATGGCATAAAGTTGGTCAAAAATAAAACTGCACTTGAGAAAGAATAAAATTCAAGTTCAATTTCTTAAAAAGCAGTGTTTAATCCAAAGCTCTGTGTGCTTTGATTAAGGTAGTCTGGCCTTGGTCTGCCACTTGATTAAGTCCCCTTGATTAGAGGCGACCAGTTGGTAGGCCCCTCACTCACCTCGCAGGCTCTTCCCCATGCGTCTCCTCCCATTCTTCTCCCACCTGCGCCTAATTTCCCACTCCTAGGAAACTATTGCTTGATTTAAAATGGGGCATCAATGGCACGTTGTAAATTTAAAATATTTTTAGGATAGAACAGTGTGGTAGTTAAAGGCCTGGGCTCTGAAGTTAGATCTGAGCTAAAACTATAGCCTTATCATTAACTGGTTGTGTGACCTGTGTGTGTGTGGTATGTGACCTTTTGAAAGTCACATATCCTCTCCGTGCCTCAGTTCCTTATCTATAACATACAGGTACTGAAACTTCCCAAATGGGATGACTGGATGAGCTAGGACACAGGATGTTTGTGGCGTGGTATCTAGTAGCTATTTGCTTATTTATATAGATTTATACCCTGCCTTGGTTCTATAAACACTGCTACCTTTCCTCTGATCATCCTCTCATCCCCCTCATCGTTGTTAAGGTTAACAAATCTCTAGCATTTATAATCGAACTCAGAAAACCTGGGAGAATTTCCCCCTTCCTCCCCACCCTCCCGCCCCCGTGACTCAGCCTCTCCGGTCAGCAGGGTTTAAGGAAGCCAGAGCAGAGGATTCTGGGAGTATCCCAAGAGAAGGACAATCCTTACAGCTAATACTAAGGGTCAGGTGCCTGTATTGGTGGCCCCCCTGAAAGAGCAGCAATGACACACTTAGCTACCTGAAGGCGGGGTCTAAACAAGATGGCCCTCGGAGAGGAGGCCAGGAGGATGGTGGAGCCAGGGCACCAGGAGACAGACCAAGGCCTGGCCCAAGGATGCAGAAGGAAGCAGGTTCTGCCCTGGTTCTTGCTGTCATTTCTTTCCCCTATACTCTGTCTCCTCTACTGTGTCCACACCATGTTCCTTCAGAGGCTCAGTGCCAATAGACTGAAGAAGGCCTCCTGACTCTGAGGGGAGCGGGGTGTCGGGGTAGTGTCTCATAAACTATTTCAGGCTGAAATCTCAAGTTCTCTGCTCCCATTCCTGGGGGATGTGCACAATGCCCTCTAGCTGGCTGACCCTCTGCCTCTGTCTTATAAGGACCTTTTGCGATTGCATCAGACCCACCTGGCTAATCCAGGATAATCTCCCATCTAAAAATCCTTAATACATGTGCAAAGTCCTTTTTACCATGTAAGGTAACATAATTCCAAGGATTAGGACATGGATGTCTTCAGGGGACCATTATTCAATGTACCACAGAGGG